CCATCTTTTTTTCCCCCCCTCTGAGTGAGATCTTGAACTCCCCAGTTTCATGGCCCCAGTAGGGACCAGATTTGGAAATGAATGGGTGTGACCTCTTCACAGCGAGATGGGTTTTGTCTAGCACAGCTGCCACGTAACCCATATAAAAACCTGGAGATGATGGAAATTCTTAGGATTTGTCTTCAGTTTCATCTAATCTATCTGTGTGAATCTAAGATAAAAGCCCAGAGCATGAAACAACCTACTCACTCCCTTACAGGAGTGGCCGAGTGGTGTAATCTCATTCTAGAATAATCCACTGTGAGATGAACGTGGCTACAGCAGAGCTGAGGTCTGGGTAGGAGGGGTTATTCCTACAGTCCTGGCAGCTTGGTGGTTTGTGATCTGTTCTGTAATTCCTCCTTAGAATAGCAAATGTGACAGAGAGTGCTACAGCGAAGGCTGAAATGCAATTTCCATTATAACCCCATCTCTCATTATAGCTCATAACTTTGGCAAATTCCTTTTGGGCTGAAATTTTCTATGCTTGGTCTCAGGAGCCATCAATGAGGTGTGTGCATATAAAAAACAAACCAACCCACCCCAATGGAACACACTGAGCCAGATGAATAGCTTCCCCTTTGCACCAACTAGGCTAGCCCAAAGGGGGCTGTAAGGCAGCAATAAACCACACCCAGTGAATATGCCCAGTGCATGGGGGTTCTGTGCCTCCTCTGCAGGAGTCCTTCTCCCTCCAGAGTAGAAGGCATCCAGGATGTGTCAGGGCATGTAAGAGGCAGAATGGAGGAGAGATGGAGCAGATCGAAGGCAGAGGGAGATGTAGCCAGGGGAAACTGGCCCTTTTCCCTGCTGTCACAAACCCTATAGGGACTTTTTTTTAAAACAAAACACTGAAACAAGAAACTGCACACGCTTCTCCCTCTGGGGAGAGGATGAAGAACAAACACATGACATGTATTAGTCACACTGCTTAATGCATTGCTGGAAGGTGCTCAGATAACACAATGATGAGTGTGGCATAACAACCTGAATAGAACAGAAGTGCAAATTGGAGCTGCCCTAGCTTACGCTGTGGGGCCTTTTTAAATTGTGTAAATAAAAGTACAGAGGGATTAAGTCACACAATCTGGACTCTTAGGATCAGACCTAGTCAACTAGATCACAGTGCTAGTGCACCCCCATGGGCCAATGCAGGCAGTCATCAGTTACAGCAGCCCAAACTGGCCCCGGGGATCAAAAGTGTGTAAAGGGGGTTCACAGTCACCTTTGCCCCTACCCCCTTGGATCCTGTGCAAAGCACAGCTCAGCGAGACCAGAGGGGCTGGCTCAATGTGTTCCATGGACCCAGGGCATGTCACTAAATCTCGGTTTTAGCCATCCCATGGCAATTCTGTGCTTCGCACACCACATAGGGCCCAGTGTCTGAAGCCACAAACGCAGAGCTGGTCAACCTCTCATCAGTCACTTCCTTCATTTTGTGCAACAGCGTGGAAGCAGAATGTTATTTATAGAAACTGTGCATGCACTGTGTAGCATCTGACTGGGGATGATGCTGCCGCACTGAGCCTTGCTTCCTGTCCAGGTTTCCTCCCACAAACTTGTCCCATTGGTTCCCCTGAAACATACAGTGTAAGTGGTCTAACCACAGGTACCCTTTTGCGTGTCATGCTTAGGAACTACCTTCCCACATGCCTCCTGAAGTCAATGAGTGACAGTTAAACAAATGTCAGTTTTGCATTGAGCTAAATAAGCTCCAGGGTACCTCTGTGAATCATTTGTCAGATGGGAAAACTGAGACACAGGGCCACACCCTGGGGCCCAGTACAGCTTGTTTGCTGCACTTCAACAGGGCAAAGCAGGCCAGCTTTAAGGGCAACTAAAAGGTCAACTGAGGATTCCCCTGCTGTAGAGGGATCTCCAGGTGGCATAGAACCAGTGTTGGGAGCATGAGGGCACTATCAGAACATGTTATGCCCCCATTGGCCAATGCAGGCAGTTATCAATTACAGCAGCTCAAAGTGGCCTCAGGGATCAAGAGCACGTAGAAGGGATTCACAGCCACCTTTGCCCCTACCCTAATTTAATAATGTGCCAGATCCTCTGGTTGGAAGTCTGGCTGAACTGGAGAGACTACCTGCAGGCAAGGGGATTGTAGAGGTGATGTAAGCCTTTCCCCGACAGCTCCTGCATAGAGGGGGGTGGGCTGGAAGGCATAGCCTCAGGGAAGAGGATGTGGCCACAGTGCTGCTGCACTCCGGCTATTGGCTGCTATTTTAGTTCCCGAAAGGCTGGTGCAGCACAGCACTGCATAAATTAGAAAAGCCCTGAGGCTGCTCTACCTTATACTGGGAGCCATGCAGATGCCTGGAAGAAATGAGAATAGAGGGAGATGCAAAGGTGACTGAAAACAGTTTTACACACATACATACACACACTCACACAGACACCCCTCTCCCCCATTAGGGTTGCTAATTTTGGTTGGATGTATTCCTGGAGATTTCATCACATGACATAATCTTTAATTAAAGATTAATCTTTAATTCCTGGAGACTCCAGACCAATCCTGGAGGGTTGGCAATGCTAACCCCCACCCACTTCTGCATTGAGTGTATCTCGACTGAAATGGAGAATTGAGCCCAAAGCATGTACACTATATAAGTGCAGTAGACCATTATAACAGCAAGGCAGTAGCAGAGGTAGGAATAGAATTCAGTTTGGGGCTTCCAGCTCTACACCCACTTCTCTGTCAATATTACACATATTGGCATAATGAAATCTTGGTAATGTTTGCTTGGTTTTTAGGGCTTGATTTGTAATGATTAGTACCTAATACTGTATGAAGATGATTTGAGTGTGCAAATATCATAAATCCATTATGAGCTATATGAGCAAGGGTCACGAGTGGGGGAAAAAGACTGGGGAAAAGCCCTGAATTCCTTTCCCTTAAGAGAGTAGAGATGCCCCATATCCCTCAATTCTCCAGGGAGTAGAAGAGATGTTCCCAGAAGACATTAGAGAGCCTTGTCTTCCCCAAAGACAACTGCAAGTAGAGGGAACCTGTGGAGGAAGGGGGTTGTTTAGGGATGGAAGATTGCGGTCTTTGTGAAGGGGATCTCTGTACAGTCAAATAATCAAACTTCTGAATGTGCATTTTCTGAGGGCCCAAACTTCTTGTGGGTTTAATAATTAAGATGTTTCTGTTAAAGAATAAGCTGAAATCAGCAGGAATGGCCACACAACCTTCTGGTCCGGGTCACCCAATATCTGGATAATTGTCCCTAGGAATTATTTTTGTAAGTATTATGTTAGCAGTGTTATCATAGTACCTAGGGTTAAAAACCACACAGCTTCTAAATCCTCAATGTCCTAGAGAGGAGTAGGAAGTAGGGGTATGGTAAAATGTGCATTTCCTGATCCCAGCTTTCTATCCCTGATACCTATGTAGAAACCTGGCACCAGATCAAGAATGGTAAGAGATGGCAAAAGGAATGAAACCCCAGCCCCAGTGGAAAGGCCTGTTCTGGGCTCTGAGGTTATGTCTACATTGCAATTAACCCCCCACCGCTAACACGTGTCA